CTCATGGAGATTACAAGCAGTTGGGATAATCTGAAATCATGGTTTTAATACCTAGGTGTGAAAGAAGGATAAAGGAACAAAGGAGTTTGGCTTATTTGGGTAACTGGATATTAAATGGGACTTTCCCTTTTGACTCAGAATTGGACAAATGGCTCTAAAGAGGAAAACAACTGTTATATACCATCCACATTCTAAAGAAAGCCATAATGCCCATTCCTGCAGGTCTTCCAAGAACTGGTAGAACTGGCTCTGCCATCCAAACTATCACTCTATAGCCCCCAAGCAGCCTATATTTACAAGGATTGAATCAAGAAGAATCCACTGTAATCACTGTTGTAGGGCAGAGAGTTGTGGCTTTTACCTTCCATTACATAAAGAGTGCTTCAAACCCTCACCCCACGGAGGCACATGAGGGAAGCTCTATGAGAATCACTCAAGAGATTAAGGGGGTGCCTGCAAGAAGGGCATGTTATCCCACGGGTGGATACCTATCACACAGTTAGCTAGCTGACCTCACTTACGTGTCTATGTAATTGGATGGGGAAAAATGGATGGGACACAGCAAGAAAAAGAGAGGGGGCATTCGTGGGAGCAGACTTCTTTCATTTTGCTTAACAAGAATGTTTGAGTATCCTTTGGTTAAGTGGACACTTCGAAGGTAGTCAGACTTGAGCCATCTTAGAATCCCTTCTAAGAGGAGTTCAGGCTAAGGGAGAGAAACTTAGCAGCAAGTAGTTGTGAAGTATTCCACGGGAGAAAATCTGAGTGGGCTTGGGAGAGGTCATTTTGGAAATAAATGTTTAGTGGACAAGGCCCCTGTGGGTGCCCTGAAAAATATACACAGGAACCCCAAGAGAAGAGCAGCATTTTGGCACCTGTTACATAGTAAGCATTGACATCCAATAGAGGACTCTAGGGGCACAGGTTAAATGGAGAACATCTTAGCCTCCTCTTTGTTCAGTCCTCTTCTCCCATCTGAATGCTGGAGAAGCTGGAGTGAGAGAGATGACATACCATCTCTGCAATCCAAGTCCCTAAGTCTAAGGACTGGCTTCCAGGTTGAAAGGAAAATGAATACCAAATTGGATTTGAGATTAAAGTGTTCAAGTGGATTACATTGGACTGAACTGAGTTGAGGTATTTGTGCTTGAAATGATCCAAAAGAAATGAAATCTGCCTGCGGTGTGACAAGAATATTAACAGAACATAACTGAAGGCAGTGGCTAAAGAAAAACAAAATGGTTTTGTACCGCCTGAAGTTAAGGCTGTTCGATATGTCTTGGTATGTTACCAACACACGAAATCCAAGCTGGATGAGGAAGTGCAGACAAGGAGGGGCTGATGGATGGGAAGAGCACAGAAGGTTCACTGCACTGGGTAGAACAGTTGCAGCAGGGGGTTCTTGAGCAGATGAGTTGGAAGCCCAAGAGGAGCAGAGTGACTAAATTAGTAATTTCAATGTAGTGGCAGTTGACAATAAATTCAAGCCCAAGTTAATATCTTGGAGAAACTGAGTAGCTGAGGTTGAATAAAGGAAAAAGTTTTTGAAGATAAAAAGGTAAAATAATTGAGGATTTGGGGTTTGTTCATGGACGCTGAAGTCTCCCCTAAAGATGACAGATATGAGGTGGAAAAATCACTGAGGGCCACATACTAAAGCCTCTACTGAATGGAATGGAGTGACCACCAAGTAAATAGGTCATAGTGATGGAGAGTTAGGTATGAGCCTCCAACAGTGAAGGCTTTTTGTAGAGGAAGGATTATTCGTTTGGAAACAGTGCTGAGAAGTGAGGAGGACATGTGCCCTCCCGACAGAGGCTTAAAAGAGTCTCTGTGGTGTCTTCCACATCAAGCCAGCAGGTGCTGGGAATGTTCACTGAAGAGGCTGAGGATTTGGGGGAGTTTGTTAATAATGCAGTGGGAATTCCAGATGGTCCAGTGGAGGAATAAGGAATTGACAGAGTGAAGATTTGCAAAGAAATCTGTATGCCACTCGAAGAATGTCAAGCAGGGGACTTGACATGGTCAGATTTGCATTTTAGGTAAATCACTCTGGCATCTGTGTGGAAGACATTTTTGAGGGGAGTCAAGGCTATGGGAAGGGAGACCATTTAAGGGACTGTTAATTATAGTCATGACAAGAAATCTCAAGGGTCTGAAATTGAGTAGTAACAACAAGGTGATTAAGATATATGTAGGAGCTTAATCAGCTTGACTTGACTGATTAGACGAGAGAAGTAAAAGGGTTTATGACTCGAATTTTTAGTCTGAGTAAATTGGTGGTTTGTGGAGACAATAGAGGAAAAACATATTTATGGGAAGATATATTCATATTTAACATTATATTAAAGTTAAATCCTTGAGTTGGTTTCCATTAGTCACTTCCCTTCTTATATAGTAATAGAGTAACTGATTTTAGTTGGGCACATGGCCACTCAGAATAAAAATAACATTTCCCACTTCCCTTGTATGTAGCCAAATGACTAAGTTCTGGCTAACTGTATGTATCAATTGTGTTTGCAACTTCCAGGAAGTATCCTTACAAGGAATCATGTATTCTTCACCCCTTTCTCCTTTCTGCTGGGGTATTTGGACATAATAGTAGAATTCTACTAATCATCTTGAACCATAACCTTAACTTGGTCGTGGAAAACACAAAAAGCAAAGCAGTTAAGATAGAAAGAGCCTGAGTTCTTAACTTCTCAACTATGGAAAATAAAGAAATTTATATTTCTTTAAGCCACTGTTATTTTGTAGCCTTCTGTTAGTCACAGCTGAACCTAATCTCAATAAATACTAGAAGTGCTAAGTTTGAGGTGTCTGTGCAACTTGGAGGAGGGACTTACAGCTGGATATACTGATAGGGAAGTAGGCAAGAGATGAGGGTTGGAGACAGGGAATTTAGGTCATTCCCTGACAGCACGTCCATGTGATTTTTTCCCCCCAATAGCCTTTAGCAGTCTGATCTAAGAGTGAAAAAGTTAAATGTTCACTTAGACATTCACATCTTAAACCATTTTCTAACCACAAGTATAAGGTGATTTAGGGATCAATATTACTTTGCATTTAAAAGATTGCCTTTGAAAGTAAGAGTTATCATATCAATTTGTATAATTGGCTAATCTTTATAAGGCACTCAGACCACATGAGGACAATATAATCAAAACCCCTTTTACTATGACGAAATTATGACAAAAATGAAACGAGGAAGAATTTTATGTGCCAAATACAGTGCAATGGATAGTAAATGTTTAGAAATAACCACACTGACCTTATTTGTTCAAAAAATAAAATGCAAGTTTGAGCAACTGCACAGGCAGCATAATTCTATAAAGACCCAAAAATGAATGCTCTCTTATTTAAGAAAATATAAGTGCAATTTTCTATTAAACTTGCTAAATTGTTAATTCCATCATACAAAATACTCTATAGAAATACACAGAAATTAGGATTGATGTAAAAGCTATTTGACCTCATTAGAAGCCATCTCTTCCCACAGCTATTTCTGGCTACTTTCTTAAAAATAAGAGCCTTAGCTTCTAATATAAATTATACATAATAAATTTCTTAAAATGCTTCCAAAGCGAAAAGGCTAGAAAAAATATTTCAAGTTGCTCTGTATTCACCTCAAAGAAAGTCTGAATAAATAAACCAATCCTACATGTTCGATTTTCTGGGGTTTTATCATGAGCTTTTAAACCCAGACTATCTGGCCTCTTCTCTCCTCTCCTCCCCATAGTTTAGCCAGTATGTGCTCAATCAAGAATTACAAAAATAACTTTAACATAGAATTCAGCAAACCTAATTAGAAAAGAAATATACTATGAAAACAAAAATCATACCACGTATCTCAGCTAGTTAATTTTGTGTTTAGCCCCCAGTTAGGATTGCCTTGGTCCCTAGACCCCTCTCCCAGCACAGACTAGAAGGTAGTCAATCAGTGCATTGCTGTCAAGAATTAAACCCACATCCAGCCCATGAGAGAAAGTGCGATTCTTTTGTGCCTCAAATCCATGTGGCCCTTGGACCCTGCTGGGTCAGCAGCATGAGGACCCACCTTCGGGCTCCTGATAAGGAGGCTCTTCATCAAGAAGCATCAGAAACCCCAACGAATCAGAAACTAATCAAAATAAACTGATAGAACTTTGAAGTTTGAAAGCTCCTACCCAGAGAGTAAGTGTTCCGGGGTGGGAGAAGTAACTGGTGACAAACTAGGTTAAGAACCACAAGGCTTAGAGTCTTGTTATGACAATAATTAGCAAAGTCTGTTTCTTCTTATGTAAAACAAAAGAGTTGGACTGGGATAGTCTCAGTGGTCTCGTCCGTCTAGCATTAAAACTGTATGTGTTGAGAATCACAGGTGAATGTTATGAGTTTAGCAATATACTTAAAGTCTCCTAAATGTAATGCATTCAGACATCATTTATTTCTTTTGACCTTGGTCTCCAGAAAGTATTTAATTCAGATGTTTTGCTCTGTGGAAAACTTTTTATCAGTACGCCTTCCTCTTTCATTGATGTTGGTTCTTTCAAACCAATATCTACGTTGTTTTCTTTGATTTTTAGAATAGTTTTATTGCATTAGTAAGCAGAAAAGGGAGGTATCGCTAATTGTAAAAATTTCCATTAAGGCATTTTCCTTTTGCAATTAAATATGCTATTGGGTAAAGTGTGGTATAGGAAAGTGATTAAATGCATGCAAAATCATGTGGGTTGTTAGAGATTATTTGGTTGTTTGGGGTCTCCTAGGATACGTAGTTGTTTTTCCACCAACACACACATCTTCTACATTCTTAAAAAAGCCTTTGGAAGTTGCTGAGCTTTTTAAGGCTCTCACCACTCTCTTTTTATGACTTCACCATATCATTAAAAATCTAAAGTTATTTAGCATAATTTAATAGTATTAGCAAGATTTGTAACCGTATCCAAGGATATGAACTTGTTTGTTGTAACAACCGCCTGAACAGTCCAAAAGGCCCTTCAAAGAAAAAACATACTATGTCAAATTTTCAGTAGTTTTATTGAAAAATGCCTCTTTTGTTTCAGAAATAAATAATATAAGGCAGTGAAATTCACAATCTGCAGTTAAAATATAAAAGCAGCAATTCTATGTTCATAGTCTTGCAAACATTTTCCAACTGCTTTTGATAACTAAGAAACATTATGTTCTGAAAAAAAAAAAGTTCATACTAAATATACAACACAAACATGCAATTCCATCTCTGCAGAATAATCTGCAATTTGGCATAAATGTTAGTGTGTCTAAAACAAGGAGGTTTAAGGCAATATGGAACTGTATCCAGTTGATACAATAACTTCAGCTACATGGCTTAAGGTTTGTGGTTGTTAAAGGAGATGTATGAGAGCATCCTATGCCCTAATGTATAACAGAAGACAGAAGAGGAAGATAAATAATTGCAATGGAGTTGACATTTCCCTCCTTTTTGGCTTTAGGAGGGCAATTACTTGAATCGTGGCATAACTGAATTGCAGATAAGTATTGGGAAAGATAAACTGCCCTCTCAAAATATACAGTAGCTCTGGGTTCCAGGACTTCTGCCTAACCTAAGAGTTTCACTGAGGCCGCCCGCTGTGCTAACTAAAGGCACATGGCATGTTCTCTCCTTGCAGCTTTTGTGAACAAAGTATTTTGCAAGCATTTCAAGGGCAAAGGCAAAAATGTCTACAGATTGCGTGCTGCGAGCTAGACTTCCTGCAGAAACAATGTTCTCTAGTCAGAAAAAGGGTACTCTCGGATGAAGCAAAGCCGGAAGGAAGAAACATTGCAGAGAAGACGTGCACTGCTCTATCTGACCTGTAAATGAGAATCCCAACACCTCCCCCCAGCCTCGGCGCGCCGTCTCAGGGTCACTGCCCCGAGCCGCGGGGCAGAGCGCGCCGCCAGCGCGCGTGTGGAGGATGCTCCTCGGCAGGCTCGTCGGCGCCGTAGTCGTCGTACTCCGCTGTCCGTTCGGGCTCCACCGGCACAATGAAGGGCTCGCGCTCAGGCAGGTATGCCCCGCCCTCGGGCACGTAGGGCTCTGTCCGATTCAACATTACAGTTATGGCATGATTTTGGAAGACACACACACAGAGAAAGCTAAGTCATCACCTAGGTGATGGCCAGCGCGCGTGCGGAGGATGCTCCTCGGCAGGCTCGTCGGCGCCGTAGTCGTCGTACTCCGCTGTCCGTTCGGGCTCCACCGGCACGATGAAGGGCTCGCGCTCAGGCAGGTATGCCCCGCCCTCGGGCACGTAGGGCTCTGTCCGATTCAACATTACAGTTATGGCATGATTTTGGAAGACACACACACAGCAAAAGCTAAGTCATCACCTAGGTGATGGCACTCCAGTCTTTATCTCATAACTATAAATAGATAAGTTACAATGTTCTGATTACTTGCATTTGCACAGAGAATTTGGTGATGATCAAATAATAAAATGGCACTTAAGAAACAACAACAATAACAAAAAACCTTCGAAGATCCAGCAGTCAATACAATCATTGCACAAATACCTGGGATGGGTCAGAGACTGGGCCAAAGAACTGTAAACGCAGTACCTAGGTAGGATTTTCACAAGTCCCCAAGTAACTTGTTCATGATTTAAAACTCCTCAATTCAAAGAACTTAGAAAGATGAGGAGGGGAGGGGAGGATGTTTTATTGGCTCCCAGAAACTGAACTCTGGAGGTGAAAAGCAACTATCACCAGGTAATTTACAGTACATGACATTTTCTGTGGTTGTCCCTCACACAGACTGAGTTACAGCTGGTGGGTGAGGAACACCAGTGACTACAGCAAAACAGGAAGAAAAGATGATTTTAAACTTTGGTTTGAAAATTGTGGTTACAAAATCCAAATAAGAGGACACATACGACAAAATAATAAAGAGACACAGGCCCTGAATCAGACACATTGCTAACAAGCAAGACATGAGGAGATTCCATCTGGTGTTATTCTGGCAATAGCAAGCAGCAGGCTTTGATGCAGAAGCTTATTGTAGAACTGTTAAGAGATTTTAGTGGACAGGATCACATACAAATCATTTACATGCCACAATTAGTTTATTATTTACATAACACATTTCTTTTTAACCAGGTTAATTGTTTTTCTAAAAATGGCATCATCTCTGCTGGTTAGTAGTTTTATTATGCACCTCTTTCACAGCTGAGGCACCCCATGGCTGTGGGTTTGAACTTTTAAAAAAGAATTTTTTTCTAAATTACTACCGAAATGCATCAGGCTAATAAACTGACACCACTGACTGCTTTTCTCTCATTCAAGTTAGTATAAAGAGTCTCCACCCTCCTTTATGATGTCAACCCCGTTCGTTAACCATATCTGTGGTGAAATTTCCATACAGACTCATTTTCTAATAAGCACGTGCGCAAACATCTCAGAAACAGGATTTTCATGTATTCAAACTGTAAGCAGCACTGGCGACTTAGAAAATTTGTTAGCCGGAACCTGAAACAGGTCAAAGATGATAGTTTTTAAAAGTTGAATTACTATGCAAAAAATATATATACACATCCACCTAAGTATGTAATGGTTAAAGTATATGTATATATCCATATATTTCTGGTTATTCACACATGACATAAGGCAGCAGTAATTTAAATTTATTTGATAAAGTATTAAATTGTAATTTGTGAATAGGTTGCATGAGAAAAATACATTAAGATTCATTATCACTCTTGGTCATATGTAATTATGCACATAAATATATAGATATATAGATATTTAGATATTTAACTACTCATGCACTATCTGCTAGTAGCAAACCATATCAAACAGCAGTATCATTTTTAAAACTTGCAAGATGCTTGAGAGTGCATTAATGAAATGGTCACCGTTGACCACAGCATGACTATCTTATTTCCAGATCAGCATATCATTCTGGTCCTCACATCCTGCAATGTCAGGCATAAGAAATTTCTGCCATCTATAATTGTCAAACACTAGAATTTCATGAACAACCCTTGAGTCCCAGATTGTATAAGTATTAATTCCATGGACAGAGTGGCACAATGAATTATTTTCAGTTGTCTGTACCAAGTTATCAAATACAAATTAGATTCCCCAAACAATTTTATATATATATATTGTCATTCCACAACTGGATTCAATAAATCACTGTTCCCAACCTTTAGTTAAAAAAAGAAAAGTCAGTTGGTAGCATTCTTTGAACTCTCAAGATAAGAAGTTTGTGATGTGATTTGGTAAATGCAAAAGTATGGGAAGGAAGAGAAAATAATTATTTAAATCTTAACAGTAAAATAATGTTTTATGCTTTGGGAGAGAACACTACTATTACATAATCAAAACACAGAACTGAAAGAGTTGATATCTTCAAAAAATCCTCAAATCAACCTTCCTTCAATCTTAGGGAACTTCATTTCCATAAGTGTTTTTTACTTCAGGTGAATTTGGGTTCCTATGACAGCAACAACATACCTGGATAGCCTTGCCCGTTGTATGGGATGCTGGCACACTGGGATGAGTCAATTTTTACTTCAGGTGAATTTGGGTTCCTATGACGGCAACAACATACCTGGATAGCCTTGCCCGTTGTATGGGATGCTGGCACACTGGGATGAGTCACAGTATCCAGGAGGACCTGGGGGTCCTCGGATACCTGAGTTTCCAGGACGACCAGGAGGGCCAGGGGGACCTCTTGAACCTGTGGACCCTGGTGAACCTGTTCTGGATTCTCCTTGTGGACCTAGTATGGAGTTAAAACAAATATATTTCCCCTCTTGTTAAATACACCTCCCAAGGCAGTCAACAGTATTTTAAGTGGAACCTTCACTGCCTCAAGACTAGACTATTCACTAGTATATGGTAAGAAAATATTTTCTTAAGAAATCACCAATATAAACCAAAGTGTATGGGACTTTCTTACCAGTGACCCATCAGAGGTAATGCTAGAAATCCACTACTCTAACAAATTTATTCAAAGAAAACTGATTTAGCAAGAAGTAAGCCAAACTAAAGATATCGTGTGTTCTCTGGTTTGCTCCCATTCTCACAGTGAGAAAGGCACCTAAATGAAGCAGCTCTTTTTCTATTTGGCCACCACACTGGACCTCCATGAAAATAGGAGTGTCTGCTCCATACCTCCAGACTAGGTGAAGCAACATTATTTCTGCATCAAGTGATAGTTATGGTTAACATAAATGTAAAAATTTAACCATAGAGCTGACCTTGGTGGCAAGGGTCTCACAAACTTTATAATGAAGAAAAAAAAATTCATTTACAACCTAGTAAATGAAATGCATAAAACAACTGGATGATTATTATTTCTTTCCAAAATATCAGGAAAGAAACTATGAATAAAATTTTGTGATGTGTCATGCCCTTTAGTGAGACTATATTTTCTCGGTCTTATAACTTATGACCACCAGAAGAAACAGGAAATGTAACCATTCGTAAGGCTATGAGTCCAAACAAAATAAATAGGAATTCCCTAAAAAAGAAAATAGCACCCATCTGTGTCACTAAAACTCATACTTTCATGTATTATAGTAAATACCTAATGAACACATTCATTTTTTGAACAAAGGAAACATAAAAATTAGGATGTTATGCAAGTTGCATTTCTTGTTAAAACACATAACATGATGGCACGAATGTCCAAAGATAACAGGGTGAAGTTGTCAATGTCTTGGAGATGGTGTGCACTTTCAGTATTTATACCCTTTAGCCATTTAATGTACTAGCAAACCTACCTGGAGGGCCAGGCAGCCCTCGAGGTCCTGGAGATCCAATACCCCTTTCACCTTTTTCTCCTGGCAAACCTACAGAAGGACAAAAAGAGAAGTACAAGGGGAAAATTACCGGAAATATGTAGTTTTCTTCTTAACTGACAATACTTGATTCAAGTAATCCATTTGCTTAGTGAACACAGAATCTAATTTTTCACAGAAATTCACCCTTTAAGCCAAATTCTTTCTAGACATTTGTGTAATTCTAATTTCATGGCCAAGAAACAAATCTGGCTACATGTCAAGGGAAAAAATTATTTGAAGGAAACAAACATATCCAATATATTTTTTAAGTAGTAATTAAGAACAGAAATCTTGAAGGTGTTGCAACACATTAAGCAACATCTTAAAGGTATCTTATCTTTAGTAGCCCTATTTAGTACAGCATCTAAATCATCAGAATTATAGCAATATCTAAGTTTTCTCTAAAAATATTAACTACTCCTTTAACAAAAGTAGGTGCCCAGAGTCCAGAAACATCTAGAATCAGATAATCCTATTTTTCTTCCTTTCCTTTAATTACAGTTATCTACCATGAAATTAAAGTCAAACAAACATACAAGACCAGTGCCAGGCCCTGAATAAAGGAACCAAAAGAATGTGGATCTAAAACTATAGGGCTGCTTAAGTACGTTCAGTTGCTGCTGAACTCTTGCCACAGTCACAGCAATTAATAAGATTTGGTTGCCTGACTTGGTTCACCAAGATATATTTTTTCCCATTAACAACAACAAAAATCAGAAAATAGCATTTTCCTTACTGAGATCCCCTAACAAAAGCATCCAGTTTTCTAAGACATGGATCTCTATGGCCTGTGGGTTGCCTAAAGAGGGAGACAGGTTCGCAGACAAACAGCTCTTCTGGGGCTGTCCAAACAAGACTAGTCAAAATAATCTGCCATGTTCAGTCTTCCACATGCTTTCAATCTGACCCAGCTCCTACACTTGCAAATTCCTTCCTTCATCTTTATGCAGCAGGCAGAAATGCCCACCTCGTTCACCAGGGGGGCCCTGCATCCCAGGCGTGCCGGGAAAGCCTGGTTGCCCCCCAGGCCCTGGTTCTCCTCTGGCTCCTGCGCTGCCAGGGGGACCCGGGGGACCGGGTGGGCCTGGCTGGTTGCGACTGGAGTGGTAATCATTTGGAATCTGATTCAGCATCTGATTGAATCTGTTCATCTGACCTGCAAATAGAAACAAGGCTTGTTAGAAACCCAATAAGGGAGAGATCAGAGGGTGAAACTGTTTTGTCTTCAGTGTCTACTGAAATCCATTCCTCCCCCCTCCAGGAAACATCCTAATTTGAATTCTAAAAATAAAATAGACATTCCAGTCACCCAATACAAAATGATCCCTGATAAACAACTGTTTCCACAAAATGCTGACCTGTAAGCCGCAAGCACCACTACAAATATAAAAGAGATGTTAAAGTTTAATGTGGCTCTGAAATAAAGCCTTGAAGTTTGCCAGATGATGTCACTCAAAAGAGAACCTTTTCTAAACTAAGAAATTCTACCATTTTTGTGTGTAGCTAAGGAAATACTAATCAGGTTTTAGTGCAAATTGAAATTACATGAGGGATACATTGAAAACTACAGATTTTTCACGGGTTCAGATCACTGTAACGGCCAGCCACCAAAAAAAGAACAACAAACAAACAAACAAACTACAGATTTCTGGGCCTTATCTCCAAAGACAATGATTCACTAGGTTTAGAATGTGGTCCAGAAACTCTCATTTCTAACAAGCAACATTGTTTATTCTAAAGCAAGCTGCTCAGGACCTCGCTTTTAGAAACACTAAGACTTCTCCAAGTAGGAGTCCTGGATTTAAAGCCCACAGTAAGTCTGCAGGCACTGAGCTTTATTACTTAATAGGCATCATGGAATAAGAAGAAAGAGTCTGTGAAAAAACTGCAAAGCAAAAAAAAAAAAAAAAAAAGGTCCCCACCAAAATCAACTTTAATCTTGGTGGACCTTCTTCCTTACAGTCATAGAATAACTTAAAGGTCGTAACTTAAATGATACTATGTCTTAAGTACTTAAGAGGTTTTCTGCTTTCAAATATCCCTGATGAAGCTCATTAAATTTTCTAATATAGAAACTGAAAAGCCCTCTTAAAATAAAATTTTGTATCAAAATGAATATAAAGATAAATCTATTATTTTACCTTGATTATTTTTTAACTTCATGACAATCATTAAAATACAATTTGCTTTATCTATTCAGACACGAAATTGACCATGTATAAAAACAGGAGCTCATCAAAAATGAAATAGAAATATATCTGATAGAACTTTAAAACTCTGCCTTTTCCTACAATTAATTAAAAAACCATTCATACTGTAAAAGGAAAAGAAACTTTACCACTTATCAATTGTTCACAGACTTGTCTTGCAACTGCTCGCATCATGTTCTGGGAAGCAATATCTCCCTTGTGAATTAAATCAAGAAGAATCATTAGCAGATTATTTCTATATGTTTAGACTTCAATGTTTAACACACAAAATAAATGTAAATCAACATGAAATACATACCCTATCACCTTTCTCTCCTTTCAACCCAGATGCACCCTGAAATACAGAAATTTCAGACATTAGGAACAGATAAACATGGACTAACACAATGCATGAATGGACATGATAAAAGAGAACAACATCCGCTTTCTAATCAATTAGCAAAATGACACATTACATTTATATCCATGTTACTCACATTTTGCTTTCCTGTGGAAAAAAATCTAATCTCTCTCTGTCTCTATCCCTTTCAGAGAAACACATGTCCTCCAAAACAGGGCTCAGATGTGAATTTGATAGTCACAATTGTAAGTTATGTACCATGCATGCTTTTTACAATGCAATTCACAATATAGGCTTAGAAATGAAATACATATGAAGATTTCTCTTGCACCACCATACTTTGCTTGGTTGGTTAGTTCAGCTGGCTACTGTGGAATGTCCATGAGGTTAATTCCCATTCGGTTCCACTAAGAACCAGTGGGTTTTGTCACCTCGCTAGCTAAATATATATATATCGATAACTTCTTCCAGTGATTCTTTATGCACTTGGTAGAGAAGGAATCAGTTGTCTCTCTTATTAGATAACTCAATTCAAATGGCTCCGCCTCTAAACACAACCACAGAACATTTGTCCCTACTCTGTCATAAGCCTCTTAATGGTCATGGGAGTTCCTGGAAAGAGTTTTTCTTCAAGTACAGAAAGTTTTTGTCCTTCAGTAATATATTTCCAGGATGCCAAATGCTATCACAGAAGGAACACCAAACCACTGACAAATCTGATGTTCCAATAATATCCCAAATCAAACCACTTCTTACCATCTCCGTGGAAACCACTATAGTCCAAACCAAGACTTTTGCCTGAACTATTCCAGTACCTTCCTAACTGGCCTCTGCTTCCTGTTTTGCTCCTTTATTCTATTCTCTACACAGACACAAAAATGATATTTTTCAAAGGAAAATTAGATCATGTCACTCTTTTGGGTCTAAGTGCTTCCCATCACACTTAGAATAATTTATCTTAATTAATAGGCATCATGGATTAAGAAGAAAGAGTCTGTGAAAAACAGGGAGGCAAAAAAAGGTCCCCATCAAAATCAACTTTCTGTGGTCAAATTAATCTTGGTGGACCTTCTTCCTTATGGTCACAGAATAACCTAAAGGTCATAACTTAAAGAATACAATGTCTTAAGGACTTAAGAAGTTTGCTGCTTTCAGATATACCCTGAAGCTGGATCACCTCTGCCCAGCTATCTCACCTCACCTTTCATCCCTCCCTTCTCCCCTTCACTCCCTTCACTTCGGGTCCCCAGGCCTCTGGCTGTTCCTTTCACATACCAGACTCCTTTCTCACTCAGGCTTTCATTCATGCTGTGCCCAGTTGCCTAGAACCCTCTTCGGACAGATCAAACAGCTCACTCCCTCACTTCATTCCAATGTCACCTCCTCAGAGGGGTTCCTTGACTACTATATCTAAAATAGCTACCTTACCACCATCACAATCATCCTGTGTTTTGTTCCTTGACTACTATATCTAAAATAGCTACCTTACCACCATCACAATCATCCTGTGTTTTGTTCCTTGACTACTATATCTAAAATAGCTACCTTACCACCATCACAATCATCCTGTGTTCTGTTCCTTGACTACTATATCTAAAATAGCTACCTTACCACCATCACAATCATCCTGTGTTTTGTTTCTTCATATCACTGGAAACTATATTATATACTTACATCATTTTTGTCTGTATCCTCCTCTAGAATTTCTAGGCAACAAGGCAGGGACTTTTGTTTACTGTTGTATCGCTGACCCCAGAACACTAGCTAGCACATTATAGGCACTAGATAAATACGTGCTGATTAAATGAACAAAATATTCCAGGAGCAGTCCCTTCAAACATCCACTATACAACACAAGGTATTGTAAGTTAGCAAGAAGATATCAACTGGTTATAATAGCTAATGACATGAGCTAACAGTGATTGAGCCAAGCTCTCTGCTAAAACTTACATACACCAATTTGCTATTTGGGGTTTTAGAAATTAAAGGAAGTTAAGATAAAATAGAGAAGAATAGGAGAGGGAATTTGCCACCTGAGAAGGATGAAGAAAATGAAGGGGAAAAATAGGGGGAGAGATGAGATCCAAATAAATGTATTCTAAATTATAATTATCATAAGAAAAACTGGAGTTTGGCTGTCCCTTTGCCAAAAGTATTAGATTTTTGTGAAAAAACAGATATTAATGAATTTGGAGGGTTTTATTACAAATTGCAGAGATTTTTAAAAAATATTTACTGCTATTTTGACATTATTCTGATGTGTTTTTTAATTTACCGCCACTCTGAGATTGTCCTATTGTACATGATTTATAGAAATTAACTTTATTGCCAGTATTTGGAGGTTACATTTCAAGTAAAAGCAATGAACGTTTCTTTTCAGCTTCTAGCTGTAGCTATCAATTATATCAGTAATATTCTTATATAAGACACTACTGAGATCAGAGTAAAACGAAATGGAATTCTAAATGGGTAGAAAAGTCCCATGTACTTTTAACTGCTCTTGCAAAGTTTCTGCCATAACTCATTGAGTAAAAGAGAGTAATGAAGTCATGTGCTAGAGCACCGCAGATTACTAAGCAGATCAGAAGCCCTTCCATCTTTATGCTGCTGACTTCATTTCGTGTAAACATAGAAGGCAGGCCATGTTACCTAAATATTCTACCTTAAGTTTGTCTGACATTAGAAAAACCTTTTAAACTTGAGTTTATGCAATTTGAACGATACTTAAGAAAAGAGATGTTCTGTCCAGAGAACAGCCTGATAAATTTGTGTCACTGCTAATGGTTGCACATAATTATCTTTAAGATAAATTTTTGTATTTCAAAATGCTATTCAGACCAAAAAAAGCTGCTTGAAATAAATTCCCACTTTATGCAAACAAGTAAGGAAAAGCTTATAAAGAACATGAAGCCCAACAGTCATTACAAATACTTGTGGTTATTAAGAACTTCAAATTCTGTTTCGGAGATACTAATTTGAAAATACCAGATATGCATAATTCCATGTCATCCATTATTTTAATGGAAACTTCTCAGTAAAAGAAAGTTAAACTGGATGTAAATTGGGGCAGGACAGTATAAAAAAAATAAAATGACCAATTGACATCAATGAATCCTTTTATTTCTGGGTCAAAGCTTCTAGCATCCTCAACTAAAGAGAAGAGAACAAATGGTGCAGTGGGATAATGCTGCCGAAGGTTAACATTCGCAAACCAGGGAGGGAGGTGCACACACCATTATGTTTTTTTCTGTCTTAAGCAGCATACCACTCCTAAATAAAGAGAATCATTTGCTGAGCCAGCTCTGAGTGTTTATACAGTGCGGAAATATGCGTTTTGGCTCAATCCCATTCTCCTTTTAAAGAATCCCAATAACCACAATTTTCATCCCAGAATATTATGACAATCCAGAGAGAAAAATTTTGAACTGGTACCAAGTCATATCCAAGGGTTTAGCATAGTTTCAACAAATGCTGCAAACACATTACAGCAGGGATAATCTAAATATGACAACACCTTGCAGTGCTTATTATTTATGTCCATAGTGAATTGACTAGATAGACATGCAGCGTCTCCACTTACAGGTCTGCCATGGTCTCCAGGTTTTCCTGGTTTCCCACTTGGTCCTGTAACTCCAGGAGAGCCTGGGCTTCCCTACAACACAAAGGCCGAGAAAAGGAATGTTATGACAAAGGGAAAATCCACTCTAAAGTAAACTAAGGAAGTGTGGCCAGTTTTAAAAGCTTTTAAAAGAAATAGCACATAATTACACATTCAGGAATAGTAAAAAACAAATTTTAAGATAGCATGAAGGAAAAAATCTTGAAAATTCCAGTTCAAACTTTATGGACTGTACATTTCTAAAGTATATTTTGAGACTGTTGAAAAATACACGTATATATAATCAGTTTCTCAATTTACACACTATGAACCCAATAAATTGGTTACAAAATGAATTTGCCAAAAGCAATTCCTATTTTTTAGTTTATTTCTTTTACAGAACCAGAAAACCCTTCAAAAGACAAGGACTGAAATCTTTGGGTCTGGCCAGTTAGCTCAGTTGGTTAGAGCGCAGTGTTGTAACACCAAGGTCAGGGGTTTGGATCCTTATACAAGCCACTGCCAAAAAACAAAAACAAAAAGAAATGTTTGGCATGGGAAGAATTAAGAAGGTGGCTGGTTTTGTGCTAAGTTGGGCACCGTGGTGGCAGTCTTCCCTTGTCTTCTGGAAATTGCACTCTCAGCTTAGAAATTCATTTTTTCCTTTGGCACACTTTCCACACATTCATTCTTTTCTATCATATCAGCACTCTTCACCCCACCAAAACCACAAGAATTTCCCTGTGTTGCTTTTAATACAGCTTCCAGACAGTTTAGCCATATATTTAACTAGAGTATTTATGCCTAATAGCCAATGCATCATGTTCTAAAGCCTAATATTTCTTTAAAGTGGAATCATCAGATTTTGTAAACAATTCTTTACTCCATCAGTTACACAAACTTTAAGCTCTGAAGTAAATACTTAAAATGAAAGTTTACTCTGCATTTAACCCCCCCTTGCCTGAGAACATATGTATTAAACATAAATAATAAAAGTATTTTAACATATGCTCTCAAGTTTTCATATCCTGCCATATAGATCTTAATGAGAAGACCCTTTGTTTTAGTTGTGGATAAAACTTACTTCCTCAGAACAATCAATAGTTGTTCAGTAATGGATGTCTTTTAAATTCAAATATCAGAGGCCACAGATTCTTAAAATTCGAGAACAGGAAGTAACCACTGAGGTCATAAAACCCAACCACTCAATGTGGGGATGAAGGAACTGAAGTATGGACCAGCTTGTGGCCAAGTTATTAGGGATTTTTTTCTTTTTTCAAATATGATTTGATTAAACAGAACTCTGCGTTTTAACACACCTGTTTTCTCTGACATACCCCACAACACAGATGGAATGTGCCTCAAAGGCAAGTTTCCTGGCTCTTCTCTAGCAAAACGGGGGGAGAGGGCGAGAGTTAGGGGACAACAATGTAACCCACTCAGTTCTTACCGGTGGACCAGGTGGGCCCCTGGGACCCATTGCACCATCTTTTCCAATGAAGCCCTATTGTAAAAACGAAATTAATTACAGTTTAGGGAGGCAATGAGCAAGTGAAAAGAAAAGATGCTAAACAGGTTGCTAAGGGGGGAGGGGAAAAAGGAGGATCTAGCCTAATTTGCTGTTTGGTAGGTAACCCTTCACTATAAAGACAAACATACCGAAGAAATCTTTTCCATTTAACTTATGCCTTTCATTGAATAATTTATGTCTATGTTTATTCTTTTGTATAGTTATAAATAAAACCATTTTAAAGGCCAAACTAATCTCCAAAGAAAATAGATTCCTTTCATGAAGATACCAGTTTTTGCTTCTGCAAGAGTATAAAAAGACTAGAGGAAGACTGCTTTTGTCTACTAAAATGTCAATGTCCACAAATGGCCCAGGAAGGGTCAAAGTGAGGTGGAAGAAATGTTGCTGAGAAAAGCAAGTGGTATCATGGACGATGAGGGACTGGGTGACCACCTGACCAGAAAACTCCCTAATTTCCTAAGCAAAATGCCAGACAGGTAGGGAAAAAGCAGGCAAAGCTGTCTTAACTGCCCTCCACTCAAGAGGGAAGAAAACCTCAATCCTCGCAATAAGTAGTGCATTTTTTCAGTAGCCTGTCTCTTCTCATTTTATGCAAAGGCCAGAACTGCACCAGTGGTGCTGACTCGGAAGGAGCAGAGCGCATGTCCACGTGGGTTCAGCTCTTTGGCTCATGCACCCGCGTTTGTGTTGTTTTATTTTCTCTCTCTGTACAGAGCCAAATAACCTCTGACTGGAATGAGTCATCTTGCTACCCAGTTAGCATTCATTCCAAACAGCAGATCTCTGAAACCCAGCCGAGGATTTCTGAGTCAGGTCATTTTTATGGTTGTTGCATTCCTCTGTCAGAGGAGATTTTTGTCTCTTTTTCTGCAAAGTATGCTTGCTACCCAGTTAGCATTCATTCCAAACAGCAGATCTCTGAAACCCAGCCGAGGATTTCTGAGTCAGGTCATTTTTTATGGTTGTTGCATTCCTCTGTCAGAGGAGATTTTTGTCTCTTTTTCTGCAAAGTATGAGTGATTGTTCTATCCATATTCTTGGAATCTAGCAAAAACAGCATCATTTGGATCCCTGCCTGCACTAAGTATCCACACTTCTTATTAGTTCATTGATTTTATAATAGAACACGTTTAAATCATTTATTTAAAATTTGTTATAAATAGTCCACCCCCAAAGAAAACTTTTTTCAGAAACTTATAGGGATAAGATTTCAGACTGTTTTCTGGAAGATCTAGACCTGCTTAACAAAAAACAGACCCCAAGTTCATATGATGTAACATCAACATTACTTCTGAGAGCCTCTTAAGAAGCAAATATGCTCCGGTATTATTGTTTGGACAGTCTGAAAGGCATTTCTTCCATCTAAATTTCTCCAACTGCTAACATAGGACACTCTTTTGTTCATTTTTTTAAGATATGTATCATATGCCTAAGTAATCTTCATTCAGTCAGCATAGGAATTCCTAATCAACCATTTTCTTTTAGAATAGACATATATCTAAATTGGGGCGAGGAGGATTTTATTCTGACGTCCTTAGAAGGGTTACCCATGGAGCTATCTGCAGAATTTGGTTATAATATTTTATTACTCTTCATTTTATTACTGCAAAGCTGCAGCAATTATTATTACTTCCACCCATATCAGGGTGGCTGAGAAGTCTGGTGGTCATTTCTTAGATACCCATCTAATAGATACCTATACATGTGGTTCTTGTGCTACTATTAACAGCCCCCAAAGCTGTGCCTCATTTTGAAAATCATCTGTGCTGAAGACAATCCGTGCATCCCGTTCCTACCCACTCAATGCCAGTATCAAGCCTTCCTTGCTCACCACAGTTCTTGGCCTCAGAAGAAAGCTCTGAGCTCAAATTTCTCTTTTTTCGTTTTTTTCAGGTGAGATCCCCAAACCCGAAGTCTCTCTGACTTTCCAAAATTGTCTATGTCCCACCCTCTCTTCAGCATTAGTGGTAGTTTACTAAGCAGTAGGTAAGTGTGCAAGGCTGTGAAGGAAAGAGAGACAGAATGTCTTGAACAGTTTCCTTGCCCTCATCCCAGGAGACCTGGGTGGCCTCACCACAAAGTTGGACACAGATTAGAGAGTGGAAAAGCACAGTCCCTCCTAGCCCCTCCATTTTCAGGGATGAAGTGATGGTGGTGAAGACAGCTGACCGCCGGTTCAGAAAGGGTGTGTTAATGGGAAGCGCACTAAGGACAGGCCGTGTCTCGAAATGAAGCCCACACTGGGGTGCATGTGATGGGCACCATATGGCTTCAGTGGCAGTGGTAGCCATGAGTCAGACCATCCTCACGTCTCAATTGCAATATTTTTGGTTTTGTTTTCTAATTGAAAGACTGACTTGTCCCCTTGCATTTTCACTATTGTCCTTTATTGTAAAATAAGAATTCAAAAAAACTAAAGTGCCAGTTTCAGAAGAATCATAGAATGTATATATCAGTACCACCTCTAGGCCCCAGATCCCAGAGAACACAGTTTTCTTTCTGACCTCTCCCCCTCTCTCTCTTCCCCAAACTCAAAGGGAGGCATAGGAGCAAATAAAGTTCACTGGCATAACATCCATCATTTGTATTATCTGGGCAAATCTTTGCTCCATCTGAAAGGGCCGCCTCTCTGCCCAAGGGTGTCTTGGAGGAGATAAGATGAACAAATCAATGTGTTTACTGGCAGCTCTTAGAGCGCTGGCCCCCTCAAATCCTGCTGCTATCATATATTTTAACTTGATGGATTAGTCGGAATGCAAACTACTGTCAGACTGTTGTCTGAACCATAAGATGCTGAAAAGTC